CCCCCCCCCTGTGGCGCTACAGCCCCAATTTGGGCCTAGGCCTACCTCCATGAAACTCTCCGTTTCACTTTGGTGTACTAGATCTTACACATACGGTAGGACTCCTTGGGCTAGTGATCAGCTCATCGCAAGGCCTCTACCTGTAGACAAACAGAAAAATGCACACAAACATCCATGCCCTGAGTGGGATTCGAACCCACGATCCCGGCTTCCGAGCGAACGAAGACAGTGCATGCCTTAGACTGCTCGGCTACCGTGACCGGCAGAGATAGCTTTACGCAACTAAATATATTAACAGTATACTTGCTATACAGTCAAGAAACAGTCTTACATGCAGAATAAAAGTGTAAATTGCTCTGTAAATAAGCAGGTACATGCATATAACACAAGAAATAATAATCACTGTAATAGGCACATACACAATTTAGAACTTTCTAACAGTAAACCATCAGTAGCAGGTTGTATCTTCCATAACAAATTGCCTAACACCATGAAGCAAATAGGAAACATCCAGTTTAAAAAGGAATTTAAGTACTTACTTATTAAGGTGTACTCTTGGGGCTGTGCCATAGCTCAAGCGGTTAGTCGCTGGCTTCCTACCGCAGTGGCCTGGGTTCAATCCCGGGCCTGGTCAAGTGGGATTTGTGGGTGACAAAGTGGCACTGGGGCAGGTTTTCTCTGAGTACCTCGGTTTCCCCTGCCAATCTTCATTCCACCAATTGCTCCACAATCACCCTCACCTATCATCTGGGGCTAGTACAGTAGGCCAGAAGTGGGCGCAGTACAAGGGACTTAGTTCCACCCCACTGGCAATAAAAAAAGTGTACTGTTATTCAGTAGATTATCTCAGTGAGGAATTCTGTAATTATTGGCTATGAGAACCTCAGATCCAACAGAATAAAAGTTTTTTCTTCTTATTCTTTCAGATGTGGCTGGGAGAGTCTCGAGTGTAGCAGGGATGGCACATGATCCGTTGGGACAGGGAAGTCTCAACATAAGTGATGTCAGTAAGTGGACGATTGTCTGTTTGTTGATGGCATCTGTACATTCATACTTAAGGTATCATTTCAGTCTGAAATCTTTTGTTCATTGGCAGACATAAAAAAGAAAATGCAGTGGTGTCCTGATGTCAAAATCTGTTATGTTAGTGAGTTATTCTGCTGTCTTATTTTTAAAGGATGTATAACATTTATTCTTATTGTGATTTTCCCATTTTTGTTTTCAAATCTTTTACCCCATTACTGTCAATTGTTCTAGTCCCCTTCCTTAAAATTCTTTCCCTTTACTGCATTTCAAATTCATTCTAACTACAATATGTTTGGTCATCCATTCTTTCTGCATGTACATACTGCAGCAACCTGCATTTTGGTGGTGGAAAAGTGTTTTTTTTTTTTTGTTAAAATTTGCCTAAATTTTGTTAAGTCTCTATGTTGCTGTTGATTAATTTGTCAGATGTACCCGAGGCCAAAAAATTGTAAGGATAATGCTCATAGAACTTAACAGACTTTATAGATACTGGTCACATCTTCCTTTATGTGAAACTGAATTCAGGATGGAATTTGTGGTAGCCAGATCCATTGTTGCGGAGGTTTCTCACATGTTTGTCATATCTCAGATATCTTTGCTCTGAAGTGGACTCTGCATTATATGCAGTGCTCTTAAATACTCAAGTAAGAATTTAAAGAAAATGATAGCCAAAACATTTCTGTCAAATAAAGACATGGTACTCAAAATTTATTTGTGTGGTAGCTGAATTTTTCTGCTCAGGGTGCGCATGTAAATTTATTTTAAAACAAATGCATCCAGATGTCACAACTACCAGTTAGGTGTTCTGCATCTGTTATCCAAATAGCAAACTAGACTTGAATGTGACACTTTTCACCGCTTTCAAAGAAGTTGTTATCACCTGATTGGGGCACTCTCCCACTGTCAACAAATTATGTAGCTTAGGAAAATCTTATATGTTTTTTGTTCTGCATATTTTCACCCCATAAATATGGCTTGAAGGGTTGTAAGAAAAAGGTAGGTTGCCTCTACGTATGCTATGGAAATGTATGAGGAAGTGGAGGTATAGTGCCATGTATACTCTTTATGCCTCAGCTGCTTTACACCCAGGGATAGAGGCCCCAATATCCATTGGATAGGTGCTGTGCGGGCCCCAGAGCTGGTCTGGTCGCTGTGGAGAAGATAAACATCTTTTGCGTTTGCTGAGAATCAAACTCCGATTTCTCACCTGTCCATCCCATAGCCTAGTCACTGTACTGACTTAGCTGCCCAGACTCCTCTTGAAGGGTTGTAGGGGAAAGATTAAGAAATTTAGTTAAGGAATTTTAGTTCGTTTTGTCAGTGACGTTTGCATTTCTTGAGGTTTTGATTAAAATTTATCATAAATGAAAAATTTTTATGTAAGGAACAGCTAATTGCCAAGGGGATTTTAGTGCAGAGATTTTTATGTTTAAAACATCAGTTTTTCTGAGCAGTTGGATTCTTGAAATTGGAAAATAAATAAGATTTTAGATAGTGTTGTGTGTGTAGCGGTTTGAACAAGACAGTATATTTATGTATAATTTTCTTCCATACATTATTGAAATTATATTGGTGTTTTAAATTACTGGATTGATACTAAAATTCTTCAGCATTTCCCATCAAAAAGTTGATATTAGAAATGTTTCATTTTGGAAGTTCATTTCTGAACCGTTACTGGTACTTTGAAGATAAAAAGCAGCTTATCAGCTTGACACTCTGTACTGAATGTTTAGTTCAGTATGTCAGTTATAACATGACTGCATCACAGATGTTTAAGATTTACAGAATTTCACAGTTTTATCACATTATTACTCATTTGTTACTATGTCATATTTAGAATTTATAAATCTATTATGTATGAAAACACATTCATAGGGCATAATTAAAAATAATTTGTGGCTAAACAGAAATTGGCTTTGACAGATTATGTAATTAAGTCTGTCTAAGCATGTGAACCCCAAGATACAGTAGAGAGAAGAACACTGTTTTAAGAACATGACATAAATTTATCATAATTCTCCTGTCTTATAATGTAAGAGCACTGATTACCCAAGAGCAGTAATGAGGTAAATATTATGCATCTGTACTTGTATGTATGTGAAAATGGGTCTGACTTGCAAAAAGAAGCATGTTCTCTAGTGTCCTGAAGCCCTTTGGCCTGTTGATAGAAGCTGCAGAAGAACTGTGCCTTGTATTTGCTTGAAGTTCAAGTGTAGCAGTAGACATAAAACTAAAGCTAAACTCTGTTGCCTGTAGTCCACAAGCAAACTCGACCAAGTGATCGCCACTTGTCGACGAAGCTAGTGCCAACTTTAGGGGCTAAAGGGTGTTGCATGGTCAGTGCAACAGATGCCCATGGCCGTTAATCTCGGTTTTATAGACCAGAGCCACTGTTTCCTTGAAATAGCTCCTGAATTATCCTCATGAGGCCGAGTGGACCCTGTTCTAGACCCACTACTTCTCAGAAAATCTGATAGCGCTGGGAATCGAACTTGAGACCTCTGGATCTGTAGCCAGAAACTGACCACTAGACCACAGAGGCAGACATAACTAAATATATTGTTACACAAATTTGGTATTAACTTTGACCTGATTTAACAGAAATCTTGCACTATTATAACATGTATATCAGATCATATTGAACTCACCTCCAAAGGTGAGTGAAGATGGCATGAAGAAATGTTGCATGGAACATTGAATTTTATTTTTGAAGCTTTTGAGTGTTAGTTGTTTCAGGTCCTTTTTATTTCTAGCATATTATAACCCTCTTTACCAATTTATTTTGTTTGAATTTTATACATTTGTGGGCTTTGCTAACATTGGACTGGAATACAATTTTCTCAAAATTTGATTTAGTTTGACAACAAATCACCTTTGGTGTCCATTTATTTGAAAACTAATGTATTAGTCGATGCAGTTTAAATTTATATAGTTTAATTGTAAAATGTTTACTGCAATGCCTGACAGAGGACCTGAAGGGGTTAAAATCCATGAAAATTATGCTAAAGAATCGGTTTAGGTAGTAAAAGACTATATTTTCTGGTGTTTACAGTCACATACCATGTAAGTGACTTTACATTTGGAGAAAAGAAGCTAGCAGCTCAACAGACTTCACATGTTGATGATACTTAAGACCATTTGAAAATAAATACAGTAAAATTTGGTTAGAGCAACATCGGTTTCTGCGACACCTTGTCTATTGCATCAAATATTCAATGGTACGAACTATTTCCTCATAAAGCAACTGTTTTTATACCTTGCTTAGTACGACATGCACAAATGCATCGACCTCATATGTAATGTCATTTTCATTCCTGAATTTCTCTGATATCATGGGAAAGTTCGATGTGTCTGCCCACCCTCACTTTCTCTACTTGCTGACGTGACTGTCCTGGAAGAATACGACCGCGGGCTGCAAGAGGAGTGTGGGTTTTATGCAAAAACAAGGGTGTGGGGTGGGACTGCGTGAATAGTGCAAGAGGATGCGGCAGGTCGTTAACTGCATTCCTTTCCTAGAATCTCGTCTAACAGGACCTCACATTGTCTACTTACCCTATAGTGTTCCTGCCTAAACCCAGAGAAGTGCAGTAGCGAAAACATGGCAATGAAAAGAAAAGTTTTAAGCATTGAAGAGAAAGTTAAAGTGGTTCGTGAAATAGAAAATGGAAGGAAAAAAGCTGATGTATGCCGCGAATTTGGTTTGGTGAATTCTACAGTACAAATGATATGGAGAATCCATATTAATTCCACGTTAATGTTACGTTAGTCTGTACTTAACTACGTATTTCACTAAAAAATGCAACATTTTAACTCGGTTTTTGGTAGATTTTTACGTGACTAACATAAGGCTACTGTGGAAGTGCCCATTCCGGTTATGACGACATTCGTTTATAACGACACTATTTTTAGGTCCCTTTGATGACGTTATAACCAAGTTCTTTGAAAGGAGTGCAGGAGAACTGCTTTTGAAATGCTTGTATTATTGTACTGATATATTTTTGTAGTGTTCCAGTATTTTGAATTGATTTTGTCTCTACTGTACATGTGAATGCTAAGATTTTCCTACTGCTGTGGATTATGCATGTTCACTGGTGTATCTGTTTTCTAGACAGATTGCTTATTTGTAACTGATTTATTTTGGCAACAGTGACTCTTTGGACATCATCAGTAATTTTTATTTAAAACAACGTTTCTGACGTTGGACTCATATCTCCATCCCAGTTGAAAAGGCTACTCAGTTGGGCCCAATTGATAGAGATAGCCCCCATTTTGAATGATAATATCCAGAAAGTCAATCCTGTTGGTATACCATCATAACAAACATATACAGAAAAACCATAAATTTAAAATGTACTGAGAATTTATGACATTTTTTTTTAATGAAAAAGTGGTTATTATGGTTGGACAATAAATAAAGCACTCTTCCTCCAGGTCTGAGAGATCTTGGCTTAGTTTGTGACTTTGGTGGCAAAATTTTTTGCGTGAATAAAAATCAAAAGGTTTCACCTATAAGTTAAGCTTATGATGTAATTATATATATCAACAAGCTGTAATTACACAGGGTTTGGATGTAAAACACCTCCCTTCACAGTGGAAAAGTGATTTTATTATGTGTTGAGCTGAAGCTCATAAGGAACCTTTTCTAACACAATTAAAATTTTTCAATTTCTAATAATGGCCAATTTTGGGAACGTAGTATTCTGTTTCCATCACTGTTGTTCTTTGTCTTTTCTTCATCACTACATATTTTCCACAAATATGCTGTTTTGTGTGTATGTGATGCAGTTGTTAGTCTTTGGCATTCAGGTTAATGGAAATGTGATTGAATAAAACCTGCAGTTCAGTCCTATATGCAAAAATGTCATGGCATTTTTGGGTCAGAATTTACTGAAAAATGTGCTGTTTGACTTGAGGGGAATGAGTTTTTTTATGCTGGTGATGTCATTTTATTAATCAGGATATAAACAGTTTCAAAATAGAAAGCTGTCTAATAAGTTATTTTACAATGTGGCACAGTTTAAATATTTGGAAATAAGTTTTAAAAATTAAAATACCTTAGTGACAGTGTTTAGAGCAGATTAAATTCATGGAATTCTTGTTACTCTTCGGTTCAGGATCTTTTTATATTCAAGTCTCTTAGGTAGGGATTAAAATATATAAAACTATACTTGTACTTGTTTGGTAAGGGTGTAGAACTTTGTCTTTTATAGTAAAGGAAGAACACAAATTAAGTGTTGGCTGGTCGTCTGGGTACCATGTACTCTTATGGTGGTCACCAAAGTTTTGTATGAACTTGCTGTTTTCATCTTCGGGAAATAATTAAGAACAACTGATATGTGGATAGGTTATATGGGAGGGATGAAGAATTGGGCTGAGAACACAAGGATTAGCAAGTTGGAGAGGAGAAAGTCTTATCTTAAACCATAGAGAATAGGAATGCTGAAGGTACATTTTGCAGGGCCCCACTGCAGGGAGGCACTTTTCAGAATTGTTATTGAATAAGTACATGTTTTGTCCTTAGAGAGTGTCGGTCATTCCTGTTCTTTGTTTCTGTTGGCCCTGACAGGGCTTATTATCTCCCCTTTCCAAGCTCAGTCTTTGATTGGCCAGTCTCATTGTGCACTGTGCAGTCCATCAATCCTTCCTACATAAGCTGACCACATTCCAACACTACTCAGTTCTGTCCTGAAGAAGAGACAGCAGGTTCCTTCAAAAGTTTGGTGACTCTGACCAATACTTCATAGTGTCATTACCCAGAAGTCCACATTTTAATCTTTCAGTGTTGTGAGATCCACTAATCTCATATACATTAAGGGGTTTTGAGAACAGGATGCCAAAAAGAATGGACCATAAGGAAAGGAAGTATAACAGAATAATAAAGGAAATTTTGTGAAAAGGGCTTCATTGCAGCACAAATAGAACAGATGAGAATTCTAATCAGAAAACCTGAAGGAAAAACCACTTAGGTGACCAAAGATGAGAGAATAGTGTTAAAATGAATCTTAAAGGAATGGGATATGAAGATGTGACTAGGTCCAGCAGCAGACTGTAGTAAATTCTATTAATGAACCTTCAGGTTACACGAAAGGTGCGGAAGTTTTTGCTGACCAATTTTGATTACCATCGTCTGAAGAAGAATTCTTCTGCATGGGGTCATTGTACAGGGTAATTATAAAGTAATGAAGTGACAAGCAGGCAATCATAGTCATGCAAGTACCAAACAAGTGTTTCATAAGCGTCTGCATGGTTGTGAAAACAAAGTTGAACAGTAGCATGACTGGAGCAAACTTAAATAGTAGTGCTTGATAGTGAAAGTAAAAAAAGTAAAGTAAAGCTATCCCTGTACCAGGCCGTGAAGGCCCATAGAGTTGTGAGATGTTGAGGGTCCCACATTATCTAGACAATCAGCTCAAAGATGGCGGTAAGATCGTCAGCCTTACATGCCGGCCGCGCTTTACTCTCCAGGAAAATGATTTAATTAATTCCTGGTACTCATTTCTGTTAGAGGTTGAGTGGACCCCAGGGCCAAAGTGCAGCTGGAAGGATTAGGTCAATTGAAAAATATCCAATGACCTCATCGGGAATTGAACCTGTGACCTTCCGGCATGTAGCATAGTGCCTGAACCAACTACGCTACTGCATGCCATAATGCTTGATAGTAGCATACGATAATTCATCTTATTTGCACAGCTTTGCTGTCGCACCGCATAATGTTTGCTGTTGTCAGGATAATTTAGACTCCTTACCTCTCTTAAGAAAAGAAAGAAGGGTTGTGAGACTGCCATGCTGTCCACTTGTCTTCCCATTTTAACATATGAAGCAGTTGTCTAATTTGTTGTTTTTCTTTCAGTTGATATTTTAAAATCTTTTTTGTTGGCCTGTGAACGTATTGTTTTCAGTTTCTTCTGACCATGCCAGAAATAATAGTATTTGTGTAATTTGTATTTCTCTAATAATGTCTTCATAACTTGAAGTTCCAATATCCTGCAGTCCACATGAAGTGGATATCTGCTACTCTAGCTCTTCTCATGTCATTCGTGACCATGATTCATTGCTGTAAGACAGTATTGGTATAGCATGCCGTACATATTTATATTCTTGTATGCCTAGAAACTAGTCATGATTTGAAAATCCGATTTAAAATTCCTAATATTGTAACAAAATTTATGATTTTTACATTCAGATCCTTTTTTATTTCATATATATTTCAGTTCTTGAAAGTATTAATGTACTTCAGTATCTAACCATGGAGTGTAATCTGTATTTCCAAGCCAGTTCATACAGTGAGAAACAATTCTTCTGCAGCTTACCATTGTGACTAGATACTGAATCGCCTTCCAACCTGTCAGTAAACAAAACAAGGAATGTTTGCTGTCAGCGCCCAATTGATATTCCATTACAGTTGAAGTCATCCAGACAACAGACCCGGGGTTCGCAGACGTCAGTACTCCGTTCTCTGAAACCGACATGGAGGATACCAGGAAGAAGTCTGTGTACGTGAAGATCATCGAACAGCCAGCTTCAAAAGCTCTGCGATTTCGATATAAGTGTGAGGGTCGGTCAGCTGGTAGCATACCTGGTGTGAACAGCACTCCTGAGAACAAAACGTTTCCAACAATTGAGGTAAATTGAATATTTGCCAGATGCTTCTGTTGTTGTTGTTGTTGTTGTTGTTGTTGTTGTTAATGTATTTGGCATTTGCCTTCCATGCAAAGATGAATAGGTATGCCTATATGGAAGAGGTTTGTTTGCTTCAGATGATGATTCATGTGTTGTCAGTTGGTGATGTATGTGAGCAGTTTAACTGGTTGCCAGGGACCTCAGTTTCTCTTGCTGACTGGCTGGCCATATGCTACCAACATCAGTAAGGGTTACTGACCTATGCAGCATCTACATTAAACTTCCTAAGGAAGTCTTTACTGTCTACTGGGAGTCTAATGACATAGTATTGTAGATAAAGCTTTTCTCTTGCTACTGATATATATTTACACATAAATCTATTTGACTCATTGTTTGTTTGCTTTAGTGTGTATTTATGTAATGTTCAAGAGAAAAAATTCCTGCTTCTTTCAGTGATACTCTTTTGTTCCTTTTCATATGGTACATATCTCATGGGATCAGCTATCTGCATGTAGGCAAAACACAGAGCCTTAGATTGCTGTATGAACAATTCTTTGTTCCTAATTGTAACCTGATTTCTTGTGTGAAAGTCCGTGTTTCCTTTTGCAGCAACAGCTCTTGGTCTTTTGTAAGTCTTTTTATGTTTTGTGGTGCCACCACAAAGTTCTTTTCAGCATCATTTAGATGCTTCTTTTTAAATACATATCGAGATATTTAGTAGCAGTGCTTTTCGTTGCAAAATGCACAAAGTAATGTTGATAGAGTTCATTTAAGTTTTAAATTGTGTATTGCTTCTCCAAATAAACATTCAAATGAAGAGAATGTTTTGGACATTCTAAATGAGTCAGGCAAATCCCTTGCAATATGGAAGGATGCTTGTCTTTCAAATAGTATTTACCCCCGAAAGTTGTTAAATTTGGTGTAAAGACTTGTGAATTATGCAAATCAAGTTCTGGATATTTTTGGTCTCTTGTGGTATACGCAGTTGAAGATACATATTTTCAGTCATCTCTTGTGACACAGGAGATGAACAAAATAATGGCTATTGTTCTCCATTTGATGGAACCATTACTGGAAAAGGGCTTTACAGTCTGGCTGTATAACTTACAACTCCCCATCTCTGGCCATACTGGGAAGCACAAGGGCACTGATTGTGTTGGGACTCTAAAAATAAACAGAAAGGGTATACTGTAGGCAGCCAAAGATGTGAAACTAAAGCAGGGAGAAATTATTGCCCAGCACTCTGGGACAGCAACTGTCCTGAAGTGGCATCATGAGCAGAATGTTTTAATGATTTCTACCTATCACATGCTGAAAGGAAAAGTGACACAAAGAGAGGGAAATTAATAGAAAATCCTGTCTGTGTAATTGAGTATAATTAATAGATGGATGGGATTGACTTGAAGGACCAACCCCTTCAAGCGTACCATGTAGAAAGGAAGTGTAAGCACAAATGGTACATTAAGTTATTCAGAACACTTCTGAATGCCACTGTGTTGAACGCAGTGATGATGACACTGGAAAGCAAGTTGATCAGCTGACGTTCAGGGTCAGTTTGGTGGAAGCTCTTTTCAAACAGTTCACTGATAATGAACACAAAGTAGCAGGTTGCCGATGGCAGAAAACATTATTCTGCGATTGAGAGAAAGAAATTTCATTCATAGAGTTCCTCCTCCTGGAAAAAAAAAATCGACACCGCAGAGGAGATGTGTAGTATGCACCAAACATGGACAGAGGAACAATAGAAGGTTTTGCTGTCTGCTGTGTCATGTTGGGCTGTGTCTGGAGGAATGTTTTGAAGATGTAAGAAGATGCTGGATGACCTTGGGGACAGAAGAGGATACTGTCATTTGAAGGAGAAAGCTCTAGATCGCATTAAGTGGAGGAATTGTTTTGGAAGAGACTGTGGACCTGGCGTCTTGACAGATTACTGATGATGATGATGATGATGATGATGATGATGATGATTAGTCACACAATTATGTATCATAATAGTATGATGACTGTCTTGATTAAATGTGTCTCATCAACATGTTTGGATCCATATGCATGGTAGGTGATAAATATTTATACTGAATACCTTAGGCCGCACCATAGCTCAAGCGGTTAGTCGCTGGCTTCCCACCACGGTGGCCTTGGTTCAATCACAGGTCTGGTCAAGTGGAATTTGTGGTGGACAAAGTGGCGCTGGGGCATGTTTTCTCTGAGTACTCCAGTTTCCCCTGCCAATCTTCATTCCACCAATTGCTCCACAATCACCCTCACCTATTATCTAGGGCTAGTACAATAGGCCAGAAGTGGCCGCAGTACAAGGGACTTAGTCCCACCCCACTAGCAATAAAAAAAATAATAATAATCCTGAATGCCTGACATTGGACAAAGTCCAGAAACCCAGTAATCCTGAGTGTTTATACACCATTGTCAGAACCCTTTAGAATCTGTATTTAGCTCCCTTTATCAGCATAAAGCTTTTTAACTGCTTGTGTAAATGCCAAAGTACGAGGGTTGGAACTTTAATAGTGGCAACTATTTATTTACAACTGATATAAGATAGATGCACATTTCAAAGTTTTACTGTCCTTCAGTGTAGTCACCAGCATTGTGTACAACCTGTTGCCAGCTATGTGGAAGTTGTAGGATACCTTTAGCAGCGCCTGTTGTGTTGATAGTTCGAATGGACCAGTCTACTGCCTGAAGAATCTCTGGAACAGTTCTGAAGCAGATGCCATGAAGTGGTTCCTTCATCTTAGGAATCAAGTTGAAGTTACAAGGGCTTAAGTTCAGGGAGTATGGTGGATGGTACAGCACTTCCCAGCTCCATTGATCGAACAAATCAGCTGCAGCTTGCTCTGCATGTGGCCAAGCATTGTCCTGCAAAATGATGGGTGGGTTCTGCAGAAAGTGTCGCCGCTTCTTTCTCAAAGCTGGTCGCAGGTTGTGTTCCAAAAATGAACAGTAATACTGTGCGCCGAGGGTCTGCTGTCGGGGAACGGTATGTGTCAGGCTAACACCATCACAGTCGTACTTGAGAATCACCATAACTTTCACATTGCTGGGATTCTGATGAACTTTTGATTTTCGTGGTGACCCATAATTACACCATTCATTTGATTGGCGTTTCATTTGTGGCTCGTATGATTTGGCCCATGTCTCATCCAGCATAATGATACTGCATAAGAAAGCCTCTCCTTCGCGCTCATAACGCTCCAAGTGGTTATGAGCAGCATCGTATCATAGCCATTTCTGTATTTCCGTCAAGTCATACGGAACCGATTGTGATGCAATGTTTATCATGCCCAGGCATTCCTTCAGAATGTGGAGCACAGTCGTATGTGCTAATCCTGTCTCTCAGGCCAACTCATGTATCATATGGTGTCAGTCGCTCTCCAGTAACAAAGAAAGAGCATACACTTCTTCACTGACACTAGGACGACCTGGTCGACGCATGTCTGCCACATTTTGGCGTCCCTTGTTGAAGACTTTTACCCACCTTGCCACTGTTCTGTGAGGCAATGCAGATTTCCCGCAAGCCTCTTGAAGACCTTAATGACAATATTATATTTAATATTTATTTATATTTATATTTAATGACACTGTCGTGCTGTATGGCCTTTGGCACATTCAATCTTTATCCAACTCTGTTGTTCCTGTTTTGAAAACATCGTGACAACACTACATTAGACCACCAGCTAATGCAAGGCTCTGTTCCTCTCGTCACTGCGCATGCGCGTGATGTGGGAAGGGAGAGTCCATTTGTTCTGAGGTAAGGTAAGTATGTAACTAATGTATGGTATAAGTGACATTATTTGTTTCCGTTGCATGGCGTCACTACAACAGTGNTGTTGAAGACTTTTACCCACCTTGCCACTGTTCTGTGAGGCAATGCAGATTCCCCGCAAGCCTCTTGAAGACCTTAATGACAATATTATATTTAATATTTATTTATATTTATATTTAATGACACTGTCGTGCTGTATGGCCTTTGGCACATTCAATCTTTATCCAACTCTGTTGTTCCTGTTTTGAAAACATCGTGACAACACTACATTAGACCACCAGCTAATGCAAGGCTCTGTTCCTCTCGTCACTGCGCATGCGCGTGATGTGGGAAGGGAGAGTCCATTTGTTCTGAGGTAAGGTAAGTATGTAACTAATGTATGGTATAAGTGACATTATTTGTTTCCGTTGCATGGCGTCACTACAACAGTGTTGCCACTATAAAGTTCCAACCTTTGTACAGTTTCAAGCCTAGTAACTTTAGCAGGAAACTACTGTGAAATAATCAGCAGCCACAAAAATACAAATAAGCAAAAGTAGTAAAAAATCGATAGAGGTGAGGGATGGTCACAGAGAGTTTCAGAGGTCATCTAATACTGTCAGGGTAGTGAAATTTATGAGGCTACAGTGGGCAGTATACATATAAGGAGAGATTGGGGGAGGCAAGCAGTGCACACAGAATTTTCGTGATAAAGCCACTTGGAAGATCAAGAATGACATTGGAGGATAACAATAAAATGGTTCTTACAGAAATTGGTGTTGAGGTAGGGAGATGGGTGGAACTGGTTCAGGATAGAGACCATTTCATGCTTTGGTATCAGCAGTGTTGAACTGGCAACTATAGCCACCAGAGAGATAGAAACTGCTGTTATTTTCACATGGTTTACGAAATGTGGTGCATGAGTTATTGTTCTGTATTTGAGGCATCCCTACTTTGAACCTAATTTGTGATGCATATCATGCATGCAATTATCTGTGGATTTTTTTAATCCCCCCCCCCAGTCAAAAGTTGGAATAGTCCATTAAAATTGGCCATGAACACAGTATTTTATGAAAAGAACGAGATTGAAGCTGGTTAGGATTGTGTCAGTAGTGCACTTTGGTATTTGGTACAGGTTTTTTATTATATGACACTGCTGTGCCACCATAAGGCCTTCAGAATTTTCCCAGATAAACTCAGCTCAGTAGCTGAGCAGCCAATCATGTTCACAGCATTGTAAATTGAAGACTGTAGTTGTTATTCGTAAGGTATTCTTGAGCGAAACACTGGTGTGTAGAAGAATTATGTGGCTGCTATATTTTTTATTTATGTTTATTGATAATATTTGCACATTTGCATTCCATCCAGATGAAAAATATCAAGAGTTCATGGGGAATCCATATATCAGAACTTGTTAATGATACTGTGGTACACAAGAGTCGTTTATGTTGAGTGTAATGGTCCAGTTGTGAACTTCATATCTGTGTCATTACGTCAGTCCTTCTGCATTGTTTTCCAGCATATGCCTCACAAGCTTCCTAGATATGCATGGAAGCAGCACATATTCAATATATTATTAAAATTTAGAATCAATTTAGTTTTGTGTCCTTTATACTGCTTCTCTTTAAAGGAAGAAGAGTGTCTATCGCGTCATGGTTCTGTTATTTGATGAACAGGATTCTATAATGTTGTCCAGTTGTTCAAGCCACGCTGTGTAGATGGTGCTGCTAGTCTGATGGACCAGGATGAACCAAGTCAAATATTGTTATTTATTTTGTTATTTGTAGATTGTTGGCTATAAAGGGGCTGCTGTTGTGGTTGTGTCATGTGTAACGAAAGATAGGCCATTCCGTGCTCACCCTCACAGCTTGGTGGGGAAAGAGGGATGCAAGAGAGGAATCTGCACCGTGCCTATAAAGGAAGAAACTATGACAGCTTCCTTCTGCAATCTTGGTATTCAGTGTGTCAAGAAGAAAGACATTGAGGAAGCTCTGAAAATTCGTGAAGAAATCAGGGTGGATCCATTTCGTAGTAAGTATCCAACTCATCACATGGTCTCACTGTTACCACTGTTCTTCATCTGTATTTTCAATTTTTTTGAGTCATATGTCTTTACTTCTTGTTGTGTAATACAGAAATATTATCATCTCGTGTTTAATCACCCAGTAAGTTCTATATACATTTCACTAGACATTGTTTATACAAAGAATATTTGTGTGAAGACATTGCACATACTTTCTCACATATTACTGACATTGACTACATTATCCTGTAAATGAAGTGAATTGGTGTCTCAGTCATTGTTAGTGAATGCCAAACAACAGTGAAATTTGGCCAGTAAAGCTAGTTTGAACAAACTGACATATTGCATTTTGGCCATAGTATGTGTTCCATTAATTTTCTGACAATATCATCTATGCAGTTCTATTTAGGGATGTGGTCTCCATAAATTTATGCAGTTTGATATAAATTGTTAGAGCCATTTTTAAGAAAATTGCAGTTCTCTTTTTGGGGCCCATTTGAAGGGCCCTTATTTTTTGAGCTAGAATGTTCATATTCACTAGGCACCTGACAGATAAGGTCATAAATGCTGAATATCAATCAGCTCCATCCCACTGTTCAAGCTGTAGTGAGGCACATGTCTATGCAGACAGACAGTATTCCTAAAACAACTTCTTCATATTCATGTGGGCTGAAAACATGTAACTCTAGCAGATCTTGAGAGTGGTATTTCCATAATCGCATACTTTCTTAAGGAGCAGTTATGTTCATTTTGGGGGGGGGGGCATTCTCTGTACTTGTTTGTGCTACGTACGTAAGAAAGTAAAAATTATAATTTCTTACAGAGCAATTGTATTTATACAAGATTGCTGGCTCAGCAGTCAGTCATCTTACATTTGGGAGGTTCACACTTTGAATTCTGGCTTGAGACTTGCTGTCCTAACTAAAGTTTTTATAATATTGTAACATATACACCTATTTCTAAGTGGTGACTCTGTAAACAATAACCTTTTCTGGGCAATGGCCCAGTAAAGACGTTCCCATGGCAACGAATATGCATGCAACAGCAGAGTTACTGTTGGAAATGGGGTGTTCCTATGTAGTTCATGCATAGATGTTATCAGGTAGCGACAGAGTCGGTTGTCAGGCAGTTCTGTGTGGGAGGCTGTGAAGAAAATAGTTGCGAGAGTGCTCAGATGAAAGTCTGACTGTGAAAAGAAGACTTTATGTCTGATATTTGGAGTGTGCAGTTCAGTGAGACTGTTATAGTTCCTGTGTTAAACCCTGTTGCCAGGAAGTGGATAACAGGAGACTGTAATATACTGAGAACAATAGTCTATGTCAGTGATCTGTAAAATGCAGTCATGATTCGAGAGTCTTGAAGTGGTCAATAAATGGAATCGCCAATCCAAACCCCATCTATAGTCACTAATACACGTGGCAGTATTCTATCCTGGGGGACATTTGGTCCAGTGAGTAGTTTATTCCCAAGTGGCTTGGAAGATGGTGAGGTCTTTTATTTGGTGAGTGGATCAATTTATAGGTCCAGTCTACCCAATCAGACAAGTCATGTAGGACCATACTTTTGTGATAGTATTTTTATTTGTGTACAGTAAGATAGCAAATTCCATTTTCAATCCAGTAATAATGAATCTAGTGTTAGCACTGAGTCATTTGGCAAGGTAATAGTGAATATGATGATAGAGACCAGTACAAATTTCTCCCATTTATTTAATGTAGAAATTGTCTGCTAAGTCCCAGAAACTGTCGATTGTTATATAGCATGCCCCCAATTATCCATGATAATGAGCAGGGAGAGATACACATGTAATAGAAAAACATGAATAATTCAGTAGTATTCTTTAGGTATGATCAGAAAATGATGATTATTGAATGTGTAAATTGAGAAATATACATATAATATTCATTTTGTGTAGTGTATTAAAAACTCTAAGACTTGCAGAAAAGTGTGTTTAACATAAAATATTAAGTGCTTTAGTGATAATGTGCACAGTCACCACAGGTAGTGTGCATGCTACTTTTAGTAGTAAGAATTTGTTTCACTTTATACATCTGTTCAACGAACAAATAAATGTTTTTAAAGAAACTTTATTACCACATATGCTGGTGTCTGAACTGCTGTTCACTCTTTCCAATAACATGTAATTTTCATCATATCCACTCCTGCAAATTTGCAGGCCATGGGTCACAGCTGAGATGCAAACAGTACATTATGTCTCGTGTTATTGTTGCTACATATATTTGCAGAACCAGTATTTGTTACTACTGTTGGTTATGGTATTTATTTTATATTTATTTACTTATTTTACAGCAGGCTTCTCTCATCGTAATCAGCCTACAAGTATCGACCTGAATGCTGTTCGACTTTGTTTTCAAGTTTTCCTTGAAGATGGAGTACCCAATAAGTTCACATATCCACTTACACCGGTTGTGTCTGATCCCATTTATGACAAGAGTAAGCCTTGTTGTTGCTCCATTTGTAGAACTTAGTTACATTTGTTAACCACTGTATGGCATAACCAGAGGGTAACATATTGAACACACCAAGTCATTGCTAAATGTGCAGGTTACATTTTTGGAAAATTATGGCTTGGATATCTTCGGAAAGAATTTATTAATACAGAATGAAATTTTTATTCACATAATGTCTAGCCAAGGCTCCTACATTTTCTCTAGACAGTCAGCTCACAGATGGCAGTAAGGTTGTCATCCTTGGCCTTTTACAGGGATAGCTTTATAATGTCTAGTTATAGTGATCCCTAGACAGTAATCTATGTTAATTTGTCTCCATTTAAAGTTTGTCTTGGTATATTGATATAATTTATTGTTCCCCACAAAAACCTAAAATAGAGATTTCACTCTACAGGTTGGACCTGTAGATCTCAGATCTGCTATTCTGTGGTGAGCTTAGTTTGCCAGATGGCCACTTCCTGCCACTGACATTAAGGTGGTATTGGTTCACCTTTGTTTACATCACAGTTGTGGCTTGGAGTGCATACAACGTGGATGTCAGTGCATTTCTTTGTTCTCTGTTTGTTGATTACTCTGTATGGGTAAATATAGGTTATTAAATGTTCTGGTACCATAATATAATGTAGCATGTCTGCTGAAAGCCAGAATTGTGTAGCTAGCAGGGACAGCCGTTGCTGGGGTACGGCTCTGCAAACATGTCTGTTGCTAGGCAACTGCTTTGTAAGCATGCAGAAATACCAGAGCCATCACTCATCAATGTGCCCATTCAAAAAAGGAGGAGTCGTTGTAAAAGGTGTTTTCTGTGTTATTCCTGTCAACGCTATATATAACGAGGACCAGCTGCCATTAGTTGGTCAGCCAGTCTGAATAGAGTCCAAGTCAAGAGCCTTGAGAAGGCAGTTAGAAGAGTAGGAGGTTGATGTGAGATGGCCACCAGGCTGCAAGGATGTGAGCCTGGGAGCAGAGGATTGTCCACTGATGGAAGACCTTACCAAGCAGCACAGTGAAGCAACGTGATTGAGAATACTGGTCTATGTGTGACAGTGATTTGTAAAGGATAGTGTTGAGTCTTGTGCTTAAAAGTCCATTAAATCTGATTACCAATGCAAACATTGTCTGTAGTCAGACTCTAGCATGTGACAACTGGTGTCAGAAGTGGGATTGGATTGATTGACTGATTGGGTTGGAGATTGCAGCAGACACTTGTATTGCCAAACTATGAAGATGGAATACGTAATGGAATGCTTGCTGGCTGAAATGAAAGGTTGTAAAGAAGAAATGAAGGCTGAAATAAGAGCCAGCCAATCCAGGACAGATGCAGATCTGAAGGAAATGAAAGAGAAATTAAGGCCAGCAAAGAAGAAGGATGGCTGTATCATCCACATATGCCAGTATGTGCTGTGTTCTACTGAAAATTGTACTGCCTGGGTTCACATGTATTTCTCTAAGAACTTTTTCAAAAGTTATGTTTGAACGGCTGTTGTACTGCGATGTGGAAAGCAAATGGAAAAACTACCACATTATCACTTTTCCTGGATAGTCTATTTCCAAAACCAGAGACACCATGTATGCGAACCAGAAGACATAAGAAGATGCTGGATGACCTTGGGGACAGAAGAGGATATTCTCATTTGAAGGAGAAATCTCTAGATCGCATTAAGTGGAGGAACTGTTTTGGGAGAGACTGTGGACCTGTCGTCTGACAGATTACTGATGAATGAATGAATGACAGCAATCATAATACTGTACTACTTTAGCTCACCAGATTCCTCATTTCTCCAGCTTGGTTTGAACTTCTCATATTGCAGGAAGCCATGATCCAACCACATTTCCTTTTCTCGCAGGATTGTCATCTTAAAGCAGTCCAGCAGGATTTGTTGGGTTTTTGAACAAGTAATGTTTTCTGGGGAGAGGGTGTCAGCCTTTACCCAACACCCTTAACTTAATAGGAGCAATGTTTTTCTGTCACAATGTATTCCCGTATGGTGGTTGGCTTCATCATGCCTAAAGACCCCTCACCCTCAGAGTTCCTGTAGGAGGTTTTTGTCCCTTAGCCAGAGAATCCCATTTGATGGTGCTGAACACTTGCCTTCACCCTGCTCCAGCTACCACATCTGTGCTGTCATCCCAGAATGTGCTGCCCATGGGTCACCACTAGGTAGGGGAGCTAGGATTTGCTGGCAGAGCCCTACTTAACAGGTGATGTTCTGGTATTTAATGGTGTGCACCTACTGGCATCAGTGCACACCCACCAGAGTCCCCCTTCCCAATAATATACATCGTGTTTTTTATAATTGAAATATTATGAAACAGTTGCTTGGGATCAAAATACAAAAGTGGATCTGAAAAATGAACCTAATTTTACATGCCCCTTATATGAAGTTTTCCTTTTTAAGTTCTCCATAGGTCGACTGAAAAACTTCTTACCTGGGAAATGCTACATCATTTGTAGACCTGTTTTGTATGTAGAGTTTTAAATTATGAATTACAGTTTTGCAGCCTCCCTTGGTCATGTGACAAATGCAATGCCTACAGTGTAACACAACTCGCAGTTACGAGAAGTGAAGAGAAAGTGTTAAAGAGTGTTAAGTGTTTATTAGTTGAGAAGACGTAGGGTACTTGTAGAGCTTGGTAGAATAGAATTAGCCATAGACACATTTGCACAGAAGTTTGAAAAGGCATCCTGTCATTTAATGAGGAGTGAGGTAGCAAAAGCCCTCTAATCTGAATGCAGCCCTGGAAGAAATATCAACCCACAGGAGCTCTATGAATCATACTAAAACATTACCTTTGTAGTGGTATGTAAACCTGTCTGTAGCTTGAAGAAAGTCGTCTTCTGGGATCTGGCACCGTGTATTCTTTGTTTCAGCCGATGTTTCGGAGGAACGTCGGCCGAAACAAAGAATACACAGCGCCAAATCCCAGAAGACGACTTTCTTCATAGTAATCGCCGTGAAAACCTCAAAACTTACATACTGTCTGTAGCTTCTTTACATCTTCTGATGAATGTTCCATGATAGAGAACACTGTCATGTCCTGTTATGTGGAGACCAACAGACATAAAGAAATAACAATGGGATGGTAGCTGTATTGTCTGAAGTGGTAACTGAAAACTTCTTCCCACATTTCCCCTTACCTGAGATTGAAAGATGCATGAATGGCAGTGCTTTGGTGCTGTAATTTTAGGAGATTGAAGGGCTCTGTATAAGTGGTCAGAATTTACCCTCTTGACCAGTAAATCACACATGACAGTCAGTGTATTTTCCATTCTGTTCCAGAGGCCATGTCCGACCTTGTTATCTGCAAATTGAGTGACTGTACATGTACGGTTGCTGGTGGCAAGGAAATAATCTTGCTTTGTGAGAAAGTTGCAAAAGGTAAGACAGTAATGATACACAGAATGCACATTGATTTCATTATTCACAGAAGTGTGCCATATTTACTCAAATATCATGCACATTTTAAAGTGTACCCAATTTTGGGAAAAAAGAAAATAGGAAAAATTTTCACGTTGGTTGCCTATTTCCATTTCCCCTACCTGGTATTCTTCATTTTATTTTACTAGTCACACGTCCTTTAACTTCTGCCTCACACAGTTGTCTTGTTTGTGGTATGTAGGAGGAACTCTACGTCTACAGGTTTTTGTTATACACCATCTTAACTTAATTTCTGATCTACTGTGGCAACCACTTACTGTCATACAGCAAAGACAGTACTAGTCTTAGTACAGTGTTTACAACGTGGCATGTGGTATTAACCTTTATCGGACGGGCCATTTAATTTCCGGTAGGGGCAG